AACTAAAATAAAAAAAAGGCAACGGATGTCGCCACATCCGTTTTAATATATTTATAAAAAAAAATTAATTATTATTTAAATAATAATACATAAATTAAAATTAATAATAATTATTTTATTAAATAAAATAAAATTAATTTATAAATAATTAAGTAATAATTTTAAAATAATTAAATTATATTTATATATTAATTTAAAACAAAAAAACTAAACTAAAAAACAAAAAAAGCAACGGATGTCGCCACATCCGTTTTAGTATATGTATAATAAATTTATTAATTATTATTTAAATAATAATACATAAATTAAAATTAATAATAATTATTTTATTAAATAAAATAAAATTAATTTATAAATAATTAAGTAATAATTTTAAAATAATTAAATTATATTTATATATTAATTTAAAACAAAAAAACTAAACTAAAAAACAAAAAAAGCAACGGATGTCGCCACATCCGTTTTAGTATATGTATAATAAATTTTTTAATTATGATTTAAATAATAATACATAAATTAAAATTAATAATAATTATTTTATTAAATAAAATAAAATTAATTTATAAATAATTAAGTAATAATTTTAAAATAATTAAATAATATTTATATATTAATTTAAAACAAAATAAATAAAAAAACTAAAAATTAAAAAACCAAAAGAAGGCAACGGATGTCGCCACATCCGTTAACGGATGTAACACGTCCGTGGAAGAATTTTTTCTTCAACGGATGTTGACATCCGTTGAAGAAAAGAGGTGGGGGTGTAGGATATTTTAAAATATAAATGATAGTTTTGAAATTTTAAAAAAATGTAGTGGTACAGGAAGCAAAGTGGGATGGTGTAGGGAGTAACCCTCTAAAGAAAAAGGTTCTAAAGTTTTTTAAATGTAAAGAATAGTTTTTGAATTTAAAAAAAAGTGTAGAGATATGAGAGAAACGTGGAATGATGTAAAAAAAAATACACTTGAGCGTACTTATATTAAAGAACTCAGCTTATCAGCAATATCATACATGCTCCAAGAAATTAGAGTTTTTAATTTTAAGAAACGGCTATTTATCAAGAAATTGAAATGAATCTAATACAAAACATTTGATCTAAAAAAATTGAGTAGAGGAAAAATTTTATTATTAAGAATTGAGATAGAAAAAATTAAAAATTAAATTATATATTAAATCTCTTAAATTCTTGAATTTTACTCTGTTATTTACAGATTAAGAAAAATCCCTTTATAATTAGGTCAAACCAAAATCTTCTGGTAGAGAAGATAGGCATCTCTGAATTTGAATTCTTTGGTCATGTCTACTCGAGGGAATATTCAGACTGAGGCTTTATTCATTGTTCATTCTGCTTCAACTTTTAATTGGTATTACAAGAATACAATTTTGACACCCATAGTGCTGGAATTTAGACGGCACAGAAAAGACAAAACCCATGCTTTGGAATATCAACCCAAATCAACTCCAATAAGCTACGGTGTCCAAACACACAGAAGCAACCAATAACATGAATTTTACTTATTAAAATAACTGTTTTATCAAATAATCTGCAGCGTAAGTAATAACATAGTTTAGTGATATGAACCAAATTGACTTACTAATATATCAACCTTGTTACAATAGCAGTTAATGAGACAGTTTCAGAATAAAGGCACTTTTGTTTCTCTTAGTTTACACACCATATACATTTATGATTGTAGATTTTATTATACAGAGATTATTTTCAAACTTTCTGCACTTGGTGGGGTTGAGAGCTAAGCTCGGATACAAGCAACTGTATCAGTAATACTAATATGATTAACTGTGAGGAAGAATTATTCATAACCATATACCAACAAATAAGATCAAGTTCTCCAAATTTCTCAGCCTTGTTTCCGAACCAGCTGTATGTGTGTGTATGTACTTGTCTTATTGACAAAACTAGCTAGTTTAGATAGAAACTAGAAGCCAGATTCTTCTACGGTAGTACATGAGTTATTCTGTTCATTTAATTTTCTTCTTCAACAGATTCAAATTTAGCAATCAACATAATCATGCCACCAGCAGTGTCATCTACTTTTGAGTCAGAGAGAGATCCTGTGATATATGTGCACACAGTTTCAGAGGCTGGTCGCCTTCTTCCTTCAGCTAGCCGCTGGAACTCTATAGCAGTTGACATTAAACTTGCTCCTGATTCTTCCACTGCTTATGAATCTATCCCTTCCCAATATCCAAAATCTGTTGATTACGATCTTGTTATCACTGACAGGAAGCATTTTCATTGTTTTATTTTTGTTCTTGTAACAATAATTTTAGTCATCCTAGCAGCTGTTTTGTTGGTACATTTTTTACCTCAGAAGCACAAGCAACAAGGGTCTTCAATCAATCTCAAAGTGGCAATAAACCAGGCTCTAACATTTTATGATGCACAAAAATGTATTACTTCTATTTCTGCTGCTACAAAATAAAATTTCTAGGTGTAGTTCAACTAATTATTTATTTTTTATTTTTGTTCAGCTGGGCATTATCCCAGGAACAGTCCAGTGAAATTTCGGGGAGATTCAGGATTACAAGATGGGAATTCGGCTAATACTGATCTTACTGGTGGATTTTATGATTCTGGCAACAACATCAAGTTTACCTTCACCACAGCTTACACCATGACCTTGTTGAGTTGGACTGTCATGGAATATCAAAGTAAATATGCTGATATTGATGAACTTGATCATGTTAGGGACATCATTAGATGGGGCAGTGACTACCTGCTCAAGGTGTTCATTCCCCCAAATTCAGCAGATGGATCAAACTTGACGCTGTATTCCCAGGCAAGTTACAACTTTTTTGTAGGGAATGGATCTTGTCGTGTATATGATAATATGACACACATTACGTTCAAAATATTGGGGTACCGTGAGAGATGCTAAAATTCAGTCTCATTTTTGTGCCATAATCCTGAATTAAATACTAATAGATATGAATAGAAATTGGTCCTTTTTTTCTTTGTTTTATTCAATTTCATTAGGTTGGAAGTACCATTAGTATCAACAATGAACCTAATGAGTTGAGTTGCTGGCAACGACCGGAAGATATGAAATATGAGAGATCAGTTTCAATTTGCGATGGCTCTGCTACAGATTTAGTTGGTGAAATTGTGGCAGCATTATCTGCAGCATCGATGGTATTCAAGGAAGACAGAGATTACTCAAAGAGACTTAAGGATGCAGCAGAAAGGGTCTTTGGGGCAATACCTACCACACAAGGGACTCACACCATGGTTGATGCATGTGGAAAACAAGCAACAATGCTTTATAACTCAACCAGCTAACAAGATGAGTTGGCTTGGGGGGCAACATGGTTATTTCTTGCTACTACAAACACTAATTACCTTGCAATTGCAACTGAAACTTTTTTTTCAGCCAAGAGTAGTGAATCAAGCGTTGACAAAGGGGTTGTTTACTGGAATAATAAGCTCAATGCTGTGGAGGTAACTTCAATAGATACACAAACTGAATTTTGAGGAGAATTTGTTTTTGGTCTGATCTTTGATCTTTGTAGGTTTTGCTAACCGGTATTCGATACTTCCGTGATCCTGGCTTACCATAAGAGGATGTTCTGAAACTTTCATCTAACTCAACCGATGCACTCATGTGTTCTTATCTATTCAATAAATACTTTAGCAGGACACCTGGTAATTAATTCTACGATCAATTGCAACATACGTCATTCGTTTGCTTGCGATTATTTACCTATGTGTGTTCATACGTGTTATCTATGTATATGAAATGTTAAACATAATGATAGGTGGGCTGATTATCCTGAAACCTGATAATGAACCACTGCTCCAGTTTGCTGCTACAGCATCTTTTCTCAGTAAATTATACAGCGATTACCTCGATCATCTCAAAATGTCTAGTGCAAGTTGCAAGACTGATACATTCTCCGTGAAAATGCTTCGTGACTTTGCCACTTCACAGGCAGTTCCTAGCTTCCTTACCATTTGATTGTTGCATGTAGATTGGACAAAGTTTATTTATGTTTTATTCTGTAATGTGTTCTTCAGGTTAACTACATCTTGGGGCAGAACCCTTTGCAAATGAGTTATTTAGTGGGCTATGGTGACAGGTATCCTGTCCAAGTTCATCACAGAAGTGCATCAATCCCTTGGAATAACCAACCTTACAATTGTGACGATGGTAAGAGATGGCTAAACTCTAAAGATCCAAATCCACAAGTTCTTTTGGGAGCCATGGTGGGAGGGCCAGACACTAATGATAATTTCATGGACCAAAGGACCAACCAAAAGTTCACTGAACCGAGCATAGCCAGCAACGCAGGCTTAGTTGCAGCATTGATTGCACTTCAAGATCCTCCTTATAGTTCACGTGACCTAAAAAGCACATTGTGGGGATGGACTTGATCTATATTTGAACATGCCATTAGATTAGGTTCTGTTCCATATTGAGCATGTGCATTAAACATATCATTTGATGGATGGGATTTTAATGTTTTTGTTCGTGTTATCTAAGCTAGAGTTCATGCATCCACCATGCAGATTTGTGCGAGGACAGACCCAGGAATTGGTTATTTTAGGATTCTTTACGCCACCAAGGTGTTATATTCAACTTTGAAATCATTTGAAATATAAAAAATCTGGTCATGCAGACCACTTTATTTGGAGGAACATTTAACAGTATCCTCAAAGTTTTCATTTCTTCAAAATATCAAAAAACTGTTTGTGAAAACAGCCAATCTTTGGAAAGAGAAAAAGTGCATATTTGTAATCATAAGACTTCCGTTAATAATAAGTTAAACCTTATACCAAGCTATCATTTACCTTTGAAAATTAGTGAGCAGTGCACACTAGAGATGTAACTCAAATAAACAGCAAGCATAGATGTAACTAAAAGAAATTACTAAACTATGACCATTGAGTGGTGGATTCCTCCTTCAACTTTAATTAACTTAGCACGTTTTGGATGTAACAAGGCTCTAAATTAGATCCTCCATCTAGACAAAATAAAACTTTGAATTCAACTTGTACAATTTTAATGTATAATAATATTATATATTGAGTAGCCGAAAGCAAATTTATAACTACATATCAGTGTTAACGAAAATTTTACTATACAAGCCATTTACACGAAAACAGAGAGGAATGAAACCAAAATATACACTACACAGAGCTGTACATATTCTTCTATCTTCAAGTTGACTTAATCCTGTCCAAGTTATACACTTTCTGCAAAATAATATTAATGAGGTAAGATGACAGAAAATTGAAGGAGCATGTAGGATATATGTTATGTTAGGAAGCATGAAATAAGCTTACAAGAATACAATGAACATCCTCAAGAAAAGGCACAAGCAAAGAAACCAAGATCTGCATTTGGTCCTTTAGGGTGTCACAGCTTTCATCTCTTTCCTTGAGGAGATCCATGAAAGTTTGAGTATCTGGCACTAGTTTTATAGCTACCTGCAGCAGTATTCCGGTTAGTTCAGCAAGAAACAAGTGCACAATTTTGGTGACTACACTAAACTCTGCAAGTTTTACATAGAGCACGGGATTTCATTTGGTAAAGAAGTTAGTAAGCTAATTGCTTGGAACAGACAAGTTGAGGTTAGCTTGAAAAAGCCATCAACATGCTTAAAATTGATTTAACACAAGAGAAGAACAAGTGGTTATTTATTACTCTGAAAGCAGCTGATGAAATCCATCCATGCCATGGTGACAGGGTTGCATCATAAGTCTCTTGAACTATTTGCTCCATATTCTTTTTAGGATCGATTTCTAATGCTCGTAACAATGCTGAAGAGAAATCCAGGGATCTGTAAAGTTGCACATCTGTGAGTGAATATTAAGCACCTTACACAACGGGAGGAATATATACTATACAAGTAAAGATAATTTTTCTGTTACTTCATCTGAGTAACAGTTATTAACCCATCGTTTTTTCTCAACAATTTGTAGAGCTGAAAGGAACTGATGATACAACCTAGCCTAAGTGCTAGGAATAACAAAATAATAAATGAAAACAATATAATTTATGCATATGTTTACCTGGTGAGCCAAAGAAAGGCTTTACTGCAACTAAACCTCTTTCTTGCGTTGCCTTTGCTAGCTTCTGATTTCAGTATTTCAACCAAATTCGAATTCATTGAGGGGTTCAATTCATGCATCATTTCCAATCTCTGCAGAGACACAGAATTCAATAGCCCAACTGTTCGATCAATGTGCAATTAAATGCTTACTGAAAACTAGACCTCGTACAACTAGACAAGAAACAACAAATTTAGAAGATCCCAATAATTGCCATGCAGAGACAGTTTCCTTCAAGTGAACTGAAGCAATTGAGAGTTGAAATTTAATTCGTACCTTAATATTCTGGTGAACGTCTTGTCTCAAAACAGCCATCGTTGGGCCTATCTTATCTGCAAGAGAGCATCAATCAAGCATAAAGACAATGTGTTTGGTGTTACATCACATTCATGTTTTCAAGTAAAACAAGAGAGTAAACCCACCAAGAACTTGTAGAACCATGTAGCATAGAGATAGGAAGGGTTTGGTGGGGATGTGCGCACTCTCATGATTACCACCTGGTTTGACTATAGCCAGCAAAGACAACTCTTCAATGGCAGAGTTTATCTCTGATCTCTTCTCCATATCTCTGCTCCTCTTCATTCTCCTTATTATCTTCCCTCCCTCTCCCTCTTCCACTTCTCGGATACACAAACATGTATGTTATGTATGCAGCTTCCAATACCCAACTAGGCTTCTCTATTAATACCTCTAGCTAGCTAGCTTGAAGCCTTGAACTTCCAACCGTAGTTAATTGGTTCAAAAATTTATATTATACTTGCTCCCAGATAGAGAGAGAGAGTAAAAGAAATTTGAAAATTTTGATCCAAGTGGTTGAACCAAGGAGTGAATCTTGCTTTGCCCACCTTGCCAATTATTTAATTCTTCTTCGCATCTAGTAAAACAGCTAGTTTGGCTTCAACAATTTTTTTTTCCTATTGATTTGTTAATAATAATATTCTTGTGCTATCAGTTTCCTCTGTAAGTCATTGATAGTGACTTTATATTTGACCTTGTAGTTATCATCAATCACTCCCTTACCTTATGTTAATGAAACATTATCCGAATAAATCAAATTTGTATAGGTCCCATGCTGAAATTGACAGGGCTAGATAGTATAGCCGTTTATCTCCATCTCAGATTAACTGTGACAGCTTTGTTAGTTGTTACTGCTACTTCGAATTTTTAAACATTTTGTTGTTAAATGTTGCCCTATTGGGCCTTGCTTGCATCACAACCGATAATAGTAGGATATGCTTTTTCAATTGGATCTCATACGATGAACAGAAAAAGATGGTTCATCACAGGCATCACAGGGACAAACCTATTTGTTTTTTTTTTACTACTATATCCAATAATTTCATATAATTTAGGATCAATTTAAATATTTTTTTTTTTTCCATTCTTTCAAATGTTTTAAAAAAATAAAATTATGATAAAATTTATTGCTTCAAAGCGAATAATAAGAAAGGTAATAAGGCATTGTGCCAAAGAAGTGACTTTGTTTTGGAGTCTTCTATCTTCTTTTCCTAGAAGCTATTCAATTATGACTTCTCAAATTGGTCTAACATTTTCTTTTCTTTTTAATAAAACACAGTTGATATTTTAACATATTTTTAAGGTTAAACATGTACCTGTAATGGATTCTCTGTAGACAATGTTATTAATTCAGTGTATAAGTGTAAAATGTTACTGTTCTTATTCATGTTATTGTTACATCTTATCAATACTTTTAATTTATTTTTTGTAAGTATAACAAATTCTTAATTTGATACAAACACCCCCTATTTTTTTTAATTGCTTTTTATGTAAATTACGAAGATTTAAATATTATATTTGTCTTTGATAATTATTGGATTTTTGTTTTTATTCTTAACATTTTTTTAGTATTTTTGCCTTTAATACTTTTTTTTGTTTCTAAAAAGAAGTTTAGATAAAACTTTAAACAGTAAAATAAAGTTATTTATCAAAAGCTTTTTTGATAAAAATGTTATTTCATATATGTATTACATCACTCTTATTGGAGAATAAAAACAATTATAATAGATTTCAATTGTTTTAATATTGTTTAAGAGAAAATTTATTTCATTGGAAAAATAATAAGCCAATTTCATTAATTTGGTATAGTCATATTCAATATGTAACTAAACATTTTAAAATTAATAATTCTTTTATCTTCGACTTTTAAAATAACACCCAAATACAAAAATATATAACTTAAATGAATAGTTAATAATTATTTCTCACCTAATTATATCTGATTTTTTTTAATTATTCTATCTACTTTAAAAAGAGTCCTTAAAAATTTAATTGATTTTAGAAATACATTTATTGGTTTTAAATAACGTAAATACCCAAAGAATCTCATCTCTGGGAATAGGTTCTAGTTGTTTGATTATCTTAAAGCTTAAGGCGAGTTTTTGTTATGATTGAGTGTAAAAATTATTTAGAATTTATCTCCTAAGAAATTAAATTTTAAGGTAACATCACAATTTCTTTAGGCTTAAGGTTTTATTCGTTCAAGTTACGATGTGATAAGTTTGGTCTTCTAATTAAGCTTTTTATTATTATTTAATTTTGAAAAAAAAATGTTAGTGATGTTTACGTGTATTTAATTAAATGACGTGATTTTTTTTTAAAATGTGTTAATGCTTAAATATATTTTCAATCATCTAAATTGAGTATATTACTTTTCTTTTTCCTTTCATTAAATTTTTCATTTTAAATAATTTTATTTTCTGTGTTTTTATTTTTAATTTGTGAGGTTAGGCCTCATTAATAAATAATTACGTCTTTATAATTTTTCACATAAATTCAGTTAAGTGCATGACTTGTTAAAGGTTTGGCAAAGTTTTGTTAACTTCCATATTAACTAGAATTGTATTAGTTTTGGAGATATGTACATATGAGTTTGTTCTAAAAATAAAAGGAATGACCAACAATTATTTATCATTGTTTAGTTTAGTTTATAACGGGTGAATGTACAAATCTCTTACAAGAATATTCTATGAGAAGTAACAATTTGTTTAATTTAATTTTTTTATTTAATTTAGGGTTAAATATGTTTTTGATCCCTTAACTTTCAATGAAAATTGGAATTAGTCCATCTTCAAAACTTTGGACTAATTTAGTCTCCAAACTTTAGAAATGTATGAATTTAATCCTTTTAACCAAATTTTGTCAACTTTATTTGATGTTTCGAACGCATTTCTCAGTTAACATTGAAGCAAAAATGTGTCAAACGAAATACTATCATGAAACGCACTTGAAACATCAAATAAACCTAACAAAATTTAGTTAAAAGGACTAAATTCACACATTTCTAAAGTTTTGGGACTAAATTAGGCCAAAGTTTTGAAGAGGAACTAATTCCAATTTTCACTAAAAGTTAAGGGACAAAAACATATTTAACCTTTTAATTTAAGACTTAGAGTTATATTTAAATTATTTTTAACAATTTTTATTTAAGGATGAGTTTTTTTTTATCTATGATATTTTTTTCTTTAAGTATATAACTGCTGTTGTGGTTATGGTATTAGGTTTATGAATTTTTTAATGTGAAATTTATTTTTTGTTATTTTTATCAAATAAGAATTAAATTCATATTTGAATTACTTTTAATAAAATTTTAGTTACTGTTGTGGTTGTTGTACCTTCAAATGAAGATGTAAGAATGTGGTGTTGAAATGAGAAGTCATAATTATTAAAATATGGCCCAATGCATGTCTGAAAGGGGAAAGGCCCAATTGGCTTGGAGGCCTGCAAGTGAGAAAAAACGTCTATTGGGAGACGTTGTTGGCAGAGTACACCCTTTGTCCCTGTTGATAGAGAGAAAAAGAGCTCGAGGCTCTTCCAAAAGCTAGAGAGAGAAGTGGAGCAACGCTCTGCACAGCGATGAAGCCATGGATGTTCAGAGAAAGTGGAACGCGATCTGCACAAGGCTTCGTAAGAGGTAAGAAAAATGCACACTTTATTTATTCTCTGTAATAGCATATGTATATGTCTGTGTTACAAAAAATTACAAATGAAAAAGGGAGAACTCTATATATAGAGCTCTTGGGAAAATGGGGACAATATCGATTACTGTCTCTAGACAGTAATCTAGCCGTTATAGGAAAACTCAATAGCCTCCCCTCAAGCTGGATGGTGTATGCTCACTAATCCAAGCTTGGGAACTATGGATCTGAACCGCACATGATGGGGAAACTTGGTGAAGATGTCGGTCAGTTGTTCATCCGATCGAACTAAAAGAAGCCGTAGGAGATTCGCTTGTATCTTTTCACGAACAACATGACAATCAAGCTTTATGAGCTTAGTCCTTTCGTGGAAGCTCTGGTTTTGAGCTATGTGTCTCGTCGATTTGTTGTCACATTATAGATCAGGAGTTCCCACTTCCTGTACTTGGAGATCTTGTAGGAGATAGTGAAGCCACTGTATCTCGCATACAGTGGCTGCAAGGGCACGATATTCCGCCTCAATGGAAGATCTGGAAACGATGCTTTGCTTCTTGGATTTCCATGAAACGAGAGATGATCCGAGGAATACACAAAACCCTGTAGTGGACCTTCTAGTATTTAGACACGTTGCCCAATCTGAGTCACGAAAAGCTTTAGGTGAACTGGAGAATCAGCTCCAAAGAACAATTCCTCCGAAGCTTAGATTTTATGTACCTAAGAACATGTTGCACAGCCCGATAATGATAATTAGTGGGTGATTTCATAAATTGACTTAATAGATTAATGGAAAAGCACAAATCAGGTCTGATATTGGTGAGATAGAGCAACTTCCTTATCAATCTTCGATAGGAGCCAAGGTCATCCAAGTAGCTGTCTGCTTTATACAGTGAGCTTGTATCACTTAAAAAAGGTGTAGAGGATGGTTTGCATCCCAGAATTCCTGTTTCCTTAAGGATGTCCAAAGCATACTTTCTCTGACATAAATGAATTTCCTTTTTAGATCTGGCCACCTCCAAGCCTAGGAAATATTTGAGTTCTCCAGGTTCTTTATTTGGAATTTATTATGCAATAGAGCATTTATGTGGTTGATTTCGGTCATGGAGTTTCCAGCTAATATGGTGTCATCTACATAGACAAGTAAAGCAGTAAAATCTGCATAAGTCCTTTTTATAAAAAGAGAGTTATTAGATTTAGATTGGATATAGTTGACAGAAAGGAGAAAAGAAGACAAATTTTCAAACCATTGCCTACTGGCTTGTTTTAGTCCATATAGTGACTTAGTAAGCCTGCAAACCTGACACTCTTTATGGATATTTAGACCAGGTGGTGGCTCCATATAGACTTCTTCATTTAGGTCCCCATGTAGAAAGGCATTGTCTACATCAAGTTGATGTAGAAACCAATTATTAGAGGCTGCAAGGGCAATAAGCAATCAACAATAGTGAGTTTGGCAACATGAGAGAAAGTGTCCAAATAGTTTATCCCTTCTTGTTGAGTGTATCCTTTTGCCACCAGGCGGGCCTTGTCATCAGCCTTATATTTGATTTTGTATACCCACCCACAACCAATGGGTTTCTTTCCTGGAGGCAGTTGTGTTAAGTACCAGGTATTATTGTCTTGTAAGGCCCTGATTTCTCTCTACATCGCTTCTACCTACTCACACATACCTTTGGCTTCATTATAAGACTGAGGCTCATTATTTGCAGTGATGGTCATAGTATACTTCAAGTGCTTTTTTGACAAAGAGTCAGAGGATAATAGATCAGAAATGGGATAAGGGGTTTTAAAATTATTTTTCATAGATAAAGATTGATTAACCTGATGCACATAGTCACTCAGATATCCTGGAGTCCTTTTAACCCTGTTAGATCTCGTGCAGCCATGATTTTCTTCACCATCAGCAATGTTGTCACCGCTATTGTTGTCAGCGA